TCTGACCTTGAACTCATGGGCTCAGGAGATCCTCCTGCCTCTGCCTCCTGAGTAGCAGGGAGGACAGGCGAGCATCTCTGTGCCCAGCTGAGTCAGCTTTCCTAAGCAGGGGTGTGGGCAGCTGAGAAGCTCCTCAGCACACAGCTTGAGGGATCAGAAAGCACATTTAGGCTCTCAACTAAAGCACACCTGCAGGTGGGGCAGGCAACCTCTGGTCCACTTAGACAGATGGGGCCATCTTTGGCCAGCCCAGCGCCATGGCAGCCTCGGTTCTGGGTTCCAGTCCCCAAATTCCCCCATAGCCATTGCTGGGCTACTCTGCTTTGGGGACATCAGAGAAGACAGCTCCTTTCCAGGTAGGAGGAGAGTCCCCGATCCTGAGGGGCCACTTCAATGCCCATTGAGAAGCCCCTCCTGACTCCCACCTTGGGGTCCTGTCCTCTGGTCCCCAGCTGAGACCTTCCTAGGTGCCTGATGTGCTCAGACTTCGCCCCATCCCCCTAGCCGGTGGTCACTTCCTTTTCCTTCTTGGCGTACTCTGTGCGCTGCTCCTCTGGCTTGTTTCCCTGGCAATAAAGAAGCTTGCAGACGCCATCACCAAGAAGGTCCAGGTGGCTTGTCGGCTCTGCCCTCCTCCTGGAGCTGAGGGCGGTGGCCAGGAGCCCTCTGCACTCCCCTGTTCCACAAATGACTCACGACAGAGACACAGAGACGTCTAGCTGGTCCCAGGTTGTTTAATAGGGGACAGCAATGGCCAAGATGAAGCTCAGCTTAAGGAGTCTCCTGCTGCCACCCAGGCGGGCAGGAAAGAGGTCCTTGGGGCAAGTCGAGCCCGTCTTGCAGCCCCTGATCCAGATCGTCCAGGTCGGAGGCAGTGGCTGCTGACCAGACACTGAGCAGCTCATCTGCCCTGGGAGGGAGGGGCTTCCTCTGTCACTTGGGGTTGCTCTCAAGCACCTGCCGGACCCTCTGCATCCCTGAGAAGGAGAAGTGAGGGCTGTGAGCGCTGGTGCTGCACAGGTGGGGACCAGCAAACCCTTGCGAGGGGCGGGGACAGGCGGCTGCTCACCCAGGCGAAGCCGCTGGGGCCTGTCTGAGAAGACCACGCGGAACCAGCCGGGCTCCTTACACTCAAAGGCCTTGCCGAAGGACAGCAGCACCTTATTGTCCAGGAAACGGCGCCACAGCAGTGTCTCCTCCTCAAAGGTGGCCTTGCGCAGGAACTGGAAAGGGGCGGGTAGAGGCTCAGGACACAGCGGAGACCCCCAGGGCCTGTCACCTGCTGGAGGAAGGCTTGTGCCCCGCCAGCCTGCACCCCAGCTCACCTTCCTCAGGTCAACCCAGATGAAGAGACCTGCCCCACGACTCAGGAAGGGGACCCCCAGGGCCCTGAGCTCCTCCGAGACGTAGGTGTGGGCAGCCTTGAGCCGGGCAAGGTTTTCAGGCAGGTACACGCGGTTGATCCAGTCTGAGTGAAAGGGCAACCAAAGAGGGGTCTTCCCTCAGCCTTCTCTCCCCTGCTAGTCTCAAGAGCAGAAGGTCAGGGCTGCTGAGACCATGGAGCCCCTCAGGCTGGCTGATGGGGTGAGGAGGAGGGAGGATCAGGAGGGGCAGGAATTCAGGGGTCCCTGTAAGGCCCCCCTCAACGCTGAGGGCTCCAGCTCCAGCCTCCACACGCCCAGTAGGAGCCCAGAGCACAAAGCCCCTCAGGATGCAGAGCAAACCAAAGATGTACCTGGTTACAAAGTGAGGCTTTGGAGCCACACAGACCAAGGGCCAGATCCCATCTGGGCAATGACAAGAGGGGGGACCTTTGACAAATTCACCTCTCTGATCCTCACATTTTTATTGACCTCTTTTTGAGGGGTGTGCAGCTCTGTGGATGATCACCCATCTATGTATTTGTGTACCTACCACCTTAGGCAGGATTAGGAATAGTTCCCTAATTCCAGAAAACACCCTCATTGGCCTCTGCCCCTCAACCTGATCTGCTTCCATCACCCTAGTTTGCCTTTTGCAAAATGTCCAGGAAGTGGAACGTTATAGTATGTAATCCATTGAGACTAGCTTCCTTCACCAGCCTAATACCTCCAGGATGAATCTGTGCTGTCGGGGATCTGATTGCAGAAGCACTTCATGGTGTGGATGAAGCACTCATTCACGGAAGAACATCCAGATTGTTTCCAGCTCAATTTCCATGTGGGTTTCTGCGTGCATGTGTGTGCACTATCTAGAGGTGGGATTGCCGGGTGGCGTGGTCAGTGTTTTTATGAGAAACTGCCTGTGAGATGCCAACCTAGTACATGACCAGCATTTTTCTCCCTTTCTGATTGGTGAGGCATTGTGGGTCACTTTGTGATCTGGTTGCCTAGGTAACCACAGATGGTAGCCCAATCTTCAGGGTCAAGCAAATGTGTCTTCATGCATGGACGTGCCTTCCTACAGCCCCATGGATCGAGCTACGCTCACCTGTTCCTTTGTGATATTACCCCTTTGCCCTGTTTGGGATAGAATGTTCCATGGAAACGCCCTTTGTATGTCCCCTTCTTACTCTGCACTTGGGTGTGGCCTACCCAGGTGTCAGTCAACCTGCTGACAGTGGACATCATGAAGCTAGACTCAGCCCCTGAAATCTGACCCCTTGCCTCATTTGAATAGCTTCTCCTCAATAAAAGGGGTCAGCACATTCGGGTTCTCTCTCTCTCTCTCTCTCTCTCTCTCTCTCTCTCTCTGTCTCTCTCTCTCTGTCTCTCTCTCTCCCTCTCCCTCTCCCTCTCCCTCTCCCTCTCTCCCCCCTTAAGATCAGAGGAGCTGTCACAGCACCCCCAATAGAAAAAGGTATTTCTGTCTCTTGTGTGGTTATTTCACGCAGCCAAATTAGCCCAGTTCTCCTGAGTGACCCTGAGTGTTTTAGTCATGAGCAACCTGCAACTGCGAAAGGGCTTTCCAAACTGGCTGAACCATCTGAATACCGGGCAGCAATGCATGAGAATTCCAGCTGCTCTGCCCCTGGTCAGCAGGAGACATTGCCTCTATTTTTAAAACTGTTACATGTTACAGTGGAGGTGGGGTATCTGGTCCTTGTTTTCCTCATCTGTAAAATGATGAGGAAAATATAAGAATTTGAGCTTCCTAGGGTCCTGTGGAGGGATAAATGTGATACAGCAAGAGCACCTGCAGGGCTCAGTAAATGGTGGCTGTGACAGGTCCCTTTGCCATCTGACCTGGCTTTCTGAACATGCAAGCAGGATACAGCCACAGAGGAAGAGGGATTTCCACTACTAACAACTTCTTCTTAGTAGTTTCCACTCTCTTCTTTAAGTGCTCAGAGCTAACAATAATGAGTTCACATTTTACATTCTTTCTTTTTCTTCTTAAGACAGTCTCACTATTTGCCCAGGCTGGCCTCAAACTGCAGGGTTCCAGCAATCCTCCTGCCTTAGCCTCCCAAGTAGCTAGGACCACAGGTGCACACCACAAGTTCACCTGGACCAAGTGCCACACTCACCCTACAAGACAGGCACCATTATTATACCTGCTCTACAGATGAGGAAACTGAGGCTCATGGAGATCACATAATATGACACACAGCCAGGAAGAGACAGAGCAAAGTCTGGACCCAATGCAGACTCAGAGTCGGCACTATTAAACACCACCCTAATATCTTCTCATTGGAGAAGCATCCCTGATCCCGGGCTGGTCCCAGACAGACCATAACCCTCCCCCCCCCCTTTCAGGGCACCAAACCCAGGCAGTCACCACGGTCCTGGAGCAGCTGTGCCACCTGGTACTGGACCAGACCACTAAGGCCGTGATAGTGACAGAGGGAAGCCACAGCGGTGGCCACATCCTGGTTTTCTGTATACAGCGTGCCAAAGCGAAGCCCGGACATCCCGAAGTCCTGCAAGAAGAGACAGCCTAGGCTGTGGCCACCTTCCACAGAGGGAGCTGATTCCACCCACCTGTCTGCCTCCCATCTCTCTGACTCCCCGCAGCCACCCAGACACTCACCTTGCTCATGCCCCACAGTACGTGGGTCCTCTGGGGGTCAGGCAGCCTGCAGAGGGCAGAGTGTGGGAACAGAGGCAGCCAGAACCAGGGCGCCCAGGCCCATTTCCACGAACAAATGAGGAGATGGATGGACGGATCTAGTTCTGGGTCCTGGCCCTGTTTTCATCTCTCAGAACCACCAATTCCTGTGCATCCTTTAGAGCAGGGTTAGCAAACAACAGCCTGCAGGAAAATCTACCTGGTGTCTTTTTTCTTAAATAACATTTCATCAGGACAGAGCCATGCTCACTGGCTGACACAATGTGCATGACAGAGTTGAGTGAGAGGCCATGAGGCCTGTAAAGCCTTAAATTTATGTACCATCTGGCCCCTTAGAGGAGAAATTTGCCAACTTCTGATCTAGAATACAGCTCAAGTGTCACTTCCTCAAAGACCTCCTGACTCTCCCCAGCCAGTGGGGTACCCCTGCAGGTCATCCCAGAGCTCCCCAGAATTCTCCATTTAGCACTTGCCACCACCGAGGTCAAAATGACTACCTGGGTGTTGTGCTGCTAGGGTTTGGGGTTTATCAAAGGTTCTACATGGGAAGGGCCAAGGTCTTGGTCATTCACTGATGTCCCCCAGCACTAGCACAGGGCCAGGCACAGAGCAGACGTCCATAGATACTGTTCCCATGTCTACCCAAGGCTCATGGGCAAGTCTCTATTTTCTCTGTCTCACTCTCCTAATGCACAAAATGAATGGGAGTCACACTCCACATGCCATCGTCCTCTCAGAGCTTTTGAGAGACAAGTGACAGAAAGGCCACAGCAGGGCTGAAAAGTCAGTAGGAACATCAGGAATGTCATCCTGCCTCGGGGTCAGATTACAGACTTCACAGATGATCTGGTCCACGTGTGTCAAAGGTATCTTGTTCATAAATTCTGTGCTCAGACTCAATCTAATGGATAAGGCCACTAATTTAAGTACCCCAAAGTGCTTATTCGCTCCATGGATGCGAGGAAGGAAGGGAGGAGGCAGGGAGGGAGGGAGGGAGGGAGGGAGGGAGGAGGGACCGCAGCTCCACTGGGCATGAAGGAACGGCCAGGCAGCCAGTTTCCCATCTTCCCTCTGGAGTCCTAGGCCCGGGGTTGGAGGTCTCAGGGTCTCCACAGAAGAGTCTCAAATCCACGGATGCAGCCCAGCCACCCACCTTCTTGGGGGCCTGAGGACCCCTTGGGTCAGCTAGGTGTTAGCAGCATTGCCCTGGCCAGGTCACACCCTGTGGGCCAGCCACAGAGAGGCCAGTGGGGCTGGCGGGTCAGCTGAGCCCAGGAGCCTCACCTTTCCAGGCTCAGGACGCTGCGGAACTCAAGCGACTCCTGGAACACTGACAGCATGTAGATTTCATCCAGGATCACGTGCAGCGAGTGCCTGCCGCCAGGAGGGGGCGGGAGAGAGCTGGGCCACAGGTTACAGCCACATGTGCTCCCAGGGAGCAGCCTGTCCCAGCCCAGAGGGACCCGCCTACCCAGGGTGTCCAGACTCCTTTTCTCCAGGAACACCCTTCTGTTGCCTATTTTCTCAACCAGGAAGCAGCACTTACAAAGCAAAGGGGAGAGGAGCTTTGAAGCCCTGTCAGGGAGAGCTTGGACCTCAGGGTCCTCCCTGGGAGGAACATTTAAGGACGAGGCTCAAGGCAGAGGACCCACATTCAAATCTGGCCCAACCCTTGATGTGTCCACTCCGAGGCTCCCAGGGCTGGGGATCATGAAGTGTCTATTTCTTTTTCTTAAATACAGTTTTACTTATACATGGACATAATATCTTCATTTTGTTTATTTATTTTTATATGGTGCTGAGGATTGAACCCAGGGTCTCCCATGTGCGAGGCAAGCGCTCTACCCCTGAGCCACAACCCCAGCCCCAAGTGTCTATTTCTTATGGGGTCGTTGTGAGGATTAAAAGAAACAGTAAGCAAAGGGCTGGGCTGTGCAGTGGGTGAAGCCATTACTATCACGTGGAAGACACGCTAGGTGCAGTGGCAACCCCTGTAATCCCAGCACCCAGGAGGCTGAGACAGGAGGAGGCAAGTTCAAGGTCCACCTGGACAACTTGGCCAGATCCTGTCTCAAAATAAAACTTTGAAAAGGGCTGGAATGAAGCTCAGTGGTGGAGCATTTGCCTAGCATGTGTAAGGCCCTGGGTCCAAACCCTAGCACCACCACAACAACAAAAAGCCTAATTTTAAAAATAAAATGGAACAGAGAGAAATGGCATCCAGCAAAGCCCTACCCTCTCACTGCTACGCTGCCAGGGAGAGGCCAAGGCAGGTAGAAGCCCGCGGTGGGGTGAGAGGGCACAGGGCCTGCAGCAGAGCCCACCTAAGAGCCTGGATGGACCCAGGAGCTACTGGGGGGGGACTCACCTCTTGGCAAATCCCAGGAACTCCTGCAGCTCTTCCGGGGAGTAGATGTCCCCCAGAGGATTCTGGGGGTTGATGAGTATGAGGCCCTTGACCTTGACACCCTGAAACCATCCACAGGCAGAGACCTCAGCTCCTCTCCAAGGCCAGGCAGACCCACTAGATGGGGCTGATCCCTGGTGGCTCCCAGGGAAGTGAGTGTCCTGGGGACATGGTCAGGACCCACCACGAAGCACAGTAAGACGCAGAATGACATCTGCATCATCGGGCTGACTGTGAAAAGAAAACCAACACAGAGCACAGAGGGGAATGTGCCCACGAGCCAGGAGAGGGCCTGTGTTGCAAAACTCAAGGGCACGGGTTTCAACTTTCAACTTTCCTACAGTGAACACGTGATCGCTCTAAGGACCAAGGTAAAATCACCCAAGTAGGCAGACGGTTGAAAAGTGGATTAAAAGGAGCCCCCAGAGAAGGGGGCCCTCTGCATTTCAATCCCCTCTAGTGAACAGGACCAGCCTCTCCACCTCTCAGGAGACTCACTAACCCACAGTCCCCCCTGCTCCATACTTGACCCCTAGAAGCCGAGTCAGAGGCAGTGGGGAGAGGGGGGCACGTTCCATGAAGCTCCCAGGTTGATTCTCTACACAGAGGCATGAGGGTCTTGTTCCAATGGGCAGAAACTCCAGGTTCTGTGCTACCACACTACCATGTGTCCCCTTCATGGCCACCAACCCAGCTCTCAGGAGATGAGCCACGGGAAGTGGGGTCCATGCTGTGTCCAGACCCACCCACTCCCAGCCCTGGTTGGAACCATCTCCAGACCTCAGATTCAGCTCCTTGCAGGGCCGTCTCCAGCTTCTCCACCGTGAGCTGGAAGGGGCGTGTGTCCTGCCCAGTGACCTGGAAGAAGACCCACCAACGTCTCCAGCCAAATTCAGGGACTCCCCAACCCTGAGTTCTCAGGTCCCTCACCCCCATCGCCTCAGTTCAGTCCCTGGAAAACAGGTGGGGCCACTTCCTCTTCCGGTCCTCCACTCCACAAGTCACATCAAGGACACCTCTTATGGCTCTCAGGTTTCCAGCAGAGGCCCGCAGGGGTCCTCTGGTAGGATCCCAGGGCTTCCATGTTAAGGTCTCTGTCCCCTGTCCACCACCTTTATATTGGTGGCTAGTTCTTGTCTTCTATGTGGACCCCAGGAATCTTAGAGCCTAGAGCAGGGGACCCTCCAGGACCCAGGCACAGGCAGCCATGTGGCAATGGAGGGCTCCAAGCCCTTTTCACAGCAGCTCCAGAGCCCTCGGCATGGACTTCCTCCCGTGCCCACCCACAATTCAGACCCAGGAAACCCCTGGCCAGGGGAAGGCCCAGGCCCACCTGGGACGCAGGAACTCTCACCTCACTGTCCAGATAGACATAGGCCAGTCGGACGTTGCCATAGAGATACACATGCCTCGTGATGCCTTCATAGTAAGGGGTGGGGATCAGGAAAGCCTCTGGAGACAGGAACAGGATGGACATGTCATCCTCTGGCTGGAACATTCCCGACCCCTTGGGCATCCTGGAGGATCATCTGGAGCATGCTCCAGCTCAATTCCCAAAACTCTAAAGCTCAGGACACTGACATTGGTCCGCTTTCTAATACAGATGGGGTCTCTTCAGATAAGTCCACATAAGTCCAAAATTGTCATTAAGTCAAAAGTACATTTAATCCACCTGACCTGCCAAACCTCCCAACTTAGCCACATGGCTGGCTGTGGGGGGTCCATGATCTCGTGTCTGCCTGGGAGCTGGGCTCAACCCACTGCCCAGCGTAGCAGAAAATGCAGTAGCACATACCACCAGCAAGGACAAGGACCACAGTTCAAAATCTGAAGTACAGTTCCCACTGACTGTACACACCTTCACACCATGGTCAAGGTGAAAACCCGTAAGTCAAGATCTTTTGCAATTAATGACTAACATTGCTGAGCACTTAGTGTGCTGGGGACTCTGCTGAACTTTTGTTGGGAAGGTCCCTTTCTTTGATTATTCTAGAAAGGGTTGGCAATTGCCTATTATATTCAGACCAGGGATCTTCCTGGTGACTACCTCTTTCTCTATGACAGTTCCTTAACCTCTGGGCCTCAGGCTCCTCACCTATAGGATGGGTTTGCCATAGAACCAACCTCCCTGGAACACTGTGAGGTTAAATGAGATATTATGGATGTGTGGAGCCTTATGCCAAGGCCTGGAATGTAGTACGTGGCCAATAGACCCACGGCCATTACCAGTATTGGTTAAGCCATGGTGAACAGGCCTCTGTCCCCGGCATCAGACACCCCTATCCAAGGCCAGGTCTTAAGACCACGGCTTGTGCAGCAGTCCTGGCTGGCTGCCTACTCAATGGTCATCCCAGTGTCCCTCCTTGCTAAGACACGAGGGGATGGCAGGCCTTCCCCAGCCGTCGGGGACAAACTAAGTTTAGTGTAAGCCAACCCTGGCTCTCTCCTCCCCTTTGCCCAAGGACTGCTCTGGGAATGGGTTTCAGTCATTGTAGGTCAGTTCAAAGGGGCTCTGTGGAGACCCTTCTGGGAAGTGCTCCCTCCCACTCCCCTCCCCCGATGTGAAAGAGATGGCACCACGTAACCTCCTCCTGTTCCTCCTGCTCTGGGCCATGGTGTCACAGGAGGATGCAGAAAGCCCAGAGCCAGCTCCCTCTACCCTCCCCTGGTAAGGCCACGCCCTGGGAGTCTCCTCAAGCCATTGATGTAAGACCTCTGTGGCCTCCTGTATTCTATTCTAAGCACATTAGGGCAGCCCGTGAGGACAGACAACTGGGGGTCCTGCCGTGTAGACCCCAGTTCAGAGCAGACCCTGAGTTCACTTACCCCCCACCTCGCACAGCACCGTGGCCAGAGCAGAGAAGACAGAGGTACAGCCATTCAGAACAACCACCTGGGGGTGACATAAAGGGACAGGATGACGGAGTTCCAAGAGGGAGTGAAAACACATAACCTCTGTCCCAGTTCAGCACAGAAGAGAGTCAGGTTCCCCCTCAGCATCCTGGGGCTCTGTCTAGACAAACACCCTCCTCCCCTATAGCCAAAGTCATTTGAGGGGACCCTGCTCTGTATCACCTGAGGAAGAACCCAGGAGCTGGTCACTCAGAGGATCTTGCCTGAAGGTGAGGAGGCCAAGAGGGCTCACAGCACAATGTGGGGCAGAGATTCTACCCCAACTCTAAATATCTAGGGCCAGCTGAGTGCAATGGTGCACGTCTGCAATCCCAGCAACATGGGGGGCTGAGGCAGGAAGATCATAAGTTGAGTCCAGCCTCAGCAATTCAGTGAGACCCTAAGCAACTTTGCAAGACCCTGTCTCGAAATAAAAATAATAAATAAAAAAGGGTAGGGATGTAGCTCCTTGATAAAGCACCCCTGGGATCAATCCCCAATACCAAAACATAAAAATTTTAAAAATGCATCTAGGGTCAGGGGTCAAGAAGGGAGCAGGCATTGCTTATTCTATTTTGAACCAAATCAAGATTGACGGCTGGGCTGGGGCTGGGGCTGAATGGTAGAGCACTTGCCTAGCATGCATAAGGCACTGGGTTCTATCCCCAGTGCCACCTAAAAATAAATAAATTTTTAAAAAAAGGTATTGTGTCCATCTACTACTAAAAAACATTTTTAAAAAATAGGCTGATTCCCAACCCACCTCGCTGTTGGCCAGCCAAAAGTGGGAGCAGAGCAAAAGGGCAGGAAAGAGCAGAGGAGGGGGATACTCACATTCTCTGCTTTGAGGGGTGCTGGGCTCTTGCAGTAGTAAGACAGGAACTTAGCCACTTCCTCCCGGAGGCTAGAAATCAGACACACAGATAGGCCCTGCTTACCAGAAGGTCCTCAAACCACTGGACACCCAAAAGCTCCTCTGGGAAATTCTCAGCCCCTGACATTACTCTCCCCTCATTTCCCATATGGGCATTATGCTCAGCACGTGTCTCCACTCCCAGGCCCCTCCAACTCCTCCCACATGCACTGAGTCTTCTTTCCCTGTAGTTCTATATTTATCCTACACAGATGTTATTTTGAGAATGCTACACTGTGATTACTATTGCTATTAATATCTCTATATTACAGATAAAGAAACTGGTTTAGCCACTGTAATCCCAGGAACTCAGGAGGCTGAGGCAGGAGGATCTCAAATTCAAGGCCAGCTTCAGCAATTTAGTGAGATCCTCAGCAATTCGGTGAGACCCTGTCTAAAATAAAACATAACAAGGACTGGGGATGTAGCTTAATGGTAAAGTTTCCCTGGGTTCAATTCCCAGCACCACAAAAAAAAAAAAAAACAGGTCTGAAGGAATCAAGGCATTTGCTAGAGCCTGTCTCCAGGGCTCACCATCCTAACCACCGTGTTTAAGAACATGTGCTTTGGAATCAGTCTTGGGATCAAGTCCTCAGCCACTGAACCCCTTTCCTCTGGTCCCTGGTGTCTGCTCAGGCACTAGGGCCAAGCATCAGTGTTGCCCAGCCAGCTCCCCGACATGGGATCTGGCTTCTATCAACTACTGAGAAGAAGAACAGACTCCTCACCCAAAGGCCCTGCCTGTACGTCAGACCCAGGTTCATGGAAACCAAACTGGGAGCTCCTGAGCCGGGCGGGGACAGGCAGGGAACCCCAGGATCAAGGCCTCCAGGACTCGGCCCTTGGCCTTCAGCAGGCTCTCTCCACCTGCCACGCCTGATATTTGGAGCTGGACAATTCTTTGTTGGGGAAGCTGTCCTGTGCAGACAGCATCTCTGGCCTCTAACACTGAAGGCCAGGAGCATCTCCACCTCCAAGTTAGGACCCTCCAACCTGTGTCCAGGCCTTGCCCAACGTCCCTGGGGGAGCAAAACCGCCCATGTTGAGATCCACTGTCCCACAGCAGTACTTACAACAGGTGCCCCCTCCAGTCAGGGTACTGCAGCAGGGGCGGCTCCACCCGCAGCATGTCACTCTGAGTCAGCTGGGGACAAAGAGGAGAGGGACGGGCTGAGGGATCCACTGCCTCCTGCTTCCACACGGCAGCAGGTCCCAGAGAAACCCCAGAGCAGCAGCATGTCCCATGCCCATTTTGCAGATGAGGAGATTGAGGATCAAAAAAGTGAGGTGACTCTGCCAAGGTCCCACAGCCATTCAGTGACACAGCTGAGACCCAAACCCAGAAATTTGGACTCTGGTCGAGTGCTCTTCATGCAACATTGCCACCAAAAAAAAAAAAAGGTGTGGCTTGCACAGACAGTGCCAGGAGAGGGAGCAGGGTGCTGTCACCTCGGTCTTGGCTCCAACTTCTAGAAGGACTCAAGACCACTTGTTCTCTGGCAGGTTTGGCTTAGTATCACGCTGTGGAAAAGGTGGCAATTTCTGGACCATCACCTCCATGACCAGGTGCTGGGTTAGACCTCTAGGGCATCACAGGCCAAATGTCAAAGAAGGACTAATAACGCAGGGTCCTTGGGTGGTGGGACCAGAGGAATGGGAATCAGCCACGTGTCCAGCCATTTCCCTCCTCCTTCATCCCTCAGAGCTGGTCCAACATGTCCCCATGGCCCACTGTGGCTTCTGAACTCTTGATACGTGGTGAGTCTAAATGGAGACACTGGATTTTGAAAACTTACTATGAGGAAGTATGTAAACTGTATTGACAGCTGTTATATTGATTACATGGTGAAATTTTACCAAGCTTTCTTTTAACTTTCTAATAGAAAATTTCAAATTACATATGTGACTCTCTTTTTCAGTGCTGAACTGTCTCAGGAAGAGCTGGCTTTAGGGAAAACCGGCTTTGAAGACCCTCCCTACAACCCAGCCCCTGGGGCTTGGATTTTTCTCCTTTGGAAAGCTGTCCTCTGGGGGAAGCATTGCTGCCTCTACAAACCCAAGCTCCAACTGGAGACCCCCTGCTCAAGGAACTGGATTATGACATCCAGGAACTTTCCAGATTTCCAGGAATCTGAAAGCTATGTTGGAATCAGTCATTCTTTTTTAAGTTGTAGATGGACACAATACTTTTATTTATTTTTATGTGGTGCTAAGGGTCAAACCCAGAGCCTCACACAGGCAAGGTCCATGCTCTACCAAGAGCCACAACTCCAGCCCGGAAAGAGTCTTTTGAGAAATAATTTAATATAGACCAAGCAAAGAATAAAAGCAAGGGAATGAGGACGTGAACATAGTCACTTCCCGCTTGTCCTGCACTGTGCCGCCACCCCACTCTTGGGGTCACGTTCCATATGGTGGGAATACAAATGAGCTTGGGCCACCATATCTCTCTTCCAACCCTGCTGAGCCAGGATGGCACACCCGGAGCTTGAAATTGGTAATGGAAATTGCCAAAGTCACGAATCAGGACTCTGGGTTTCCCTGAAGGGCACAGTGGCACACGCCTCTAATCGGGAGGCTGAGGCAGGATTGAGAGTTCAAGGCCAGCCTCAGAAACTCATCAAGGTCCTAAGCAACTCAGGGAGACCTTGTCTCTAAATAAAATATAAAAAGGGCTGGGGATGTGGCTCAGTGGTGAAGCACCCCTGGGTTCAATCCCTGGTACAAAAAAAAAAAAAGGATGGCACTGAGTCCCCTGGAGTGAGGGACCCAACACAGCAGGAGGGACCAAAGGGGCAGAGCCTGAACTGATGAAGGATCAGGATCACAGGGAAGTGATGGGCCTAGATCACCCAGAAAGTGGTTCCCAAGGCAACTGGGGTCCCCTGACTCCCTGGCCAGGCCAAGAGCCCACAGCAGGTCCTTTAGGGACAAGTGTTCCAAAGAAGGGATCCCCTGGACTCACCCGCCAGGACAGCAGGTCAAAGCAGAGTTTGTTCTCACTGGTGCCCAAGTTAATGACGCCCTGGAGACGAGAGGAACGGGGCCACGTGAGCATGGCAGAGGAGTGCCCGCGAAAGGAGCCCACAGGGTCAGCAAATGGGGAGCTCTGCCACCCTGCCCTCCCGCCACCCCTCCTGGTCTCACTCCAGCCCTGCCCCCCTTGGCCTCAGGCTCTCTCTTCCCATTTCTAAAGTTCTGCTCAAATGCCATCTCCTCCAGGAAGCCTGCCCCCCAATCCCACCTAGAAGGGCTTTTTCTTCTCTGGGGTTCCATGGCTCTTAATCTGTCACCCCTCTAGAGCACTGCTGACTTTTTGCTCCAGGCCATGGGGACAGAAGTCCATGCTCTACTCCCCTGCTGCAGGAGAACTCCCCAAAGGCAGATGCACACCCAGGACCTTACAGTATCTCTCAGGAGCTTAGCAGGAATCCATACATGTTTACAGGATGAAAGAATGTACACAAAGAACTATGTTCTCCAGGAACAGAAACCAGGTGAAGGTCAATAAGAATGAGCCCTCGGCCACATGCAGTGGCACACCCCTGTAATCCCAGCACCTCGGGAATCGGAGGCAGGTGGATCGTATGTTCATAACCAGCCTCAGCAACTTAGAGAGGCCCTAAGCAACTCAGTGAGACCCTGTCTCTGAATAAAATACCAAAAGGGGCCAGGGATGTGGCTCAGTGGTTAAGCACCTCTCAGCTCAATGCCCAGTAATTCCCCACTGAGCTATTTTATGCAGATGCACCACCTGGTTTACACAGTGACAGCCTTTGAGGAGAGAGGCTCTGTGTCCGCATTAGCCTGGACCTTATCTCAGCACTTGGGATTAAAAGGAACACTGGCTAAGGTGTAGTCTTTGGTGGTGGGTAATATGTAACTTTTGGGGTAATTAAAGATGACAGCAGAGAGGGGAAGGCACCCCTTTGTCTGCCACGCTTCTGTCTGCACCTTCCCTGTGTGTCTGTGTCTGTCCTTGGTGGGCCTCCCCCACAGGTGTTCCCCACAGGTGTTCCTTTACACCACACCTGATCCCCACCCCAGAAGGCCTTTATTCTCATAGGAGAGAAATGATGGGAGGCCTAGTCCAAGCTCTCCCTCAGAGTCCCCAGAGACACAAGGCCGCCCTCTGCCCTGCCCCGCACCTCCCCCCACCCAGCTGACTACTGACCTCTGCATTAAGGGAAGCAAAAGGGAGTAAAGGAAGAAGGAAAGATGAAAAATAGACCTGGAATGAGCAGAGATGAAGACACCTAAAAGGCTGTGATCTCCCCCTGGGGGACAAACAGCCAGTGCACCTGCAAACCCTGACAGCTCTGCCTTCCAAATACCCACAGTCCACCCGCTGCCAAGCTCCACTGCAGAGATCCTGGCCCAACCCCATCACCACGCCAGCTTCTCCACTTCCTGTCCTCCCCACTCCCTCACCTGTCATCCAGGCTCATGCACAGTCCAAGGCATCTCTTAAAAACAGAAATCAGGCCATATCGCATCTCCCTGCAACACCTCCTCGCCCACTTGATCCAAAATGAGAAGGCTCGCAGTGGCCCGTGACACCCATGGGACCTATTACCACACCACCTCATGACCTTCAAACCTCACAGTCCACCAGTCTGGATTCTTAGTAGACCAAGGGTTCCTTTTCTGTCCCTTGGTTCATCCAGCATGGTTCCACCCTGGGCTCTTCCCCAGGTACAACATGGCTCACTCCTGTTTGGTGGCTCCCAGGGATCCCCACCCCCTCTAATCACACCCTCGAATGTGGGCTGGACCTAGCGACTCATTTCTGATGACCAAAATAAAACATGCAGACGTGATGGGATGCCACTTCTGAGACTGGGTACTACAGAGTCTGTGGCTTCATCTTGGGAACACCTGGCCTCATTCTCCTGGTCATTTGCCCTGGAAAAGCAGCTGCCAGGTGGGAAGTGGGCTGGTGGGAAAGCCCCTGTGGAGGGAAATGAGGCCCTCCAGTCACCAGGTGAGTTAGCTTGGAAATGGCGCCTCCCCACCCTCTCCCTCTCCCTCCCCCGAGAGATGTCCCCAGCTTCAGGGCAACTCCACAGAAGATCCTGACTGTGAGGCACCCACTAGGATTCCAGAAACTGAGACTCTTCCCACCTGAATTTCTGAGATTTGAAGGAATTTGTTACAGCAATTGATGGCTAGCACCACCTCCCCCCCTTTTTTTTTTTTTTCGGGTTTCTGTCCAAATGTCACCTCATTAAAGTAGCTTTCTGTGACCATTTTATTGAATAGCAACATTACCACCATTCTCTATCCACTTCACCTGCCTTATTTTTCTCTATAGCTATTATAACCTTATATTATATAGACATGCTTTTGTCTGTTCGCTGTCTCCCACCCAGATCATGAATGCATACTGTTAAAATGTTAAAATGCCAGCACCTACAAGAGCGGCTGGTACCTGGGTGCTGCTGAAGAAATAAAGATTATTAAAGGGTAATTTGTGCAGCTCTCTGATCTGTGAAGGTATTACTAACAGTAGTTAGTAATACCTCATAATAAATGGGCAGATAATATCAATATAATAGCAGCAACATTTATTCCCTGTACCCCAGAGCAAGCTCTGAGCTAATCCCATCTAATCTCCACTCTTCTGCAGCAAGTATAATTATCCCATTTTGGAGATGAGCAGAGATTGAAAGAAATGGAACCATCATGCACTGAACCCAGCTCTGTCCTAGCTCCAGAGTTGAAGGGGTGGGGGTGGGGACAGCTGGGGGCGGGGTAGAACACTTGCCTGGCAGGAGGGAGAGCTTGATCCTAACCCCAGCCCCACAAAAAGAAAACAAAATCAAGGTGAATAGTTGTCAGGCTATCCACGCAGGAACACTCTACAGCTCTTGAACTCTTCCTTCACAAGTCCGTGTCCACTTAATTATAAATGGGGGGTCACTATAAAAGGCCCCTGCTTGTGGGCCTCTAGGACCTCCATCAGAAGACCTCCTGGAGGCAGAGGACCGTGATTTTACCCTACAGGTGCCAGCTGGGTCCTGTCCTACAGGTCAAGGAAGGTACCCGCCCCACAGTTCCCTCTTGGGCCCGGGAAGGGCTTTGCTCACATTGGGGTTCTTGTCCTCGTCATACTCATCCCTGTGGTAGGTCCTGTAGCCCTCCTCAGCCGAGTCCCAGAACCATTTGATGTCTCTGCCTCTGGAGGACAGGCAGGAGCTGGCAGAGGAGAACATGGCGATGGGATCACCAACTCCACAGAGCTCTGGCCGCGTCAGCTCTGCTCTTCTGGAGCATTCTCCTTCCACGTCACCCGGACAGTATCGGCCCATGTCCTGTGGGGAGGCCGAGCCCAGACAGGTGGCAGGCTCCCTGCATTCCTTCTGAGGAAGGGGGAACATCTGCAAAAGACAGAAGCGCTCAGTGCCCAGGGCTGCTCAAGGCCCTGGGGAGCACCACCCAGAAAAGCAGTCAGGCACCATCCCCGCTCATCCCAGCCCCACCTCACTTTATTTTGCAACAGGGTTTCCCTGTGTTGCCCAGGCTGGCCTCAATGATCCTCCTGCCTCCACCCACTGGCCATCTGCCCCTTCCTTTAAGTTCATGCACTCACCACTTCCTGTGTCCCTAACTAGCTGCAACCATAGGTGCCACCACTTCAAGGAGCAAAATTGTTAAGGACATGTAGTGAGCCAGGGCCTGTGCTGGCTACATCTGAGTCATTTCAATAGATTGCCGCTTTGGCTCATTTCATTTCTGCATATGTTTTTCCTTGTCCAGCCTAAGGGGTCGCCAAACTCCAGGTTAAGCTGGGTGCAGTGGCACAGTCCTGTCATCCCAGTGGCCCAGGAAGCTGAGGCAGGAGGATCACAGGTTCAAAATCAGCCTCAGCATCTTAGTGAGGCCCTCAGAACTGAATGAGAGCCTGTCCCAAAGTAAAAAATGAAAAGGGCTGGGGATGTGACTCAGCGGTGAAGAGCCCCTGGGTTCAATCCCTCGTCACAAAAAAATAAAAATTTAAATTTAAAAATCCAGGTTAAAATTCTCCACACACATCACTGCCAGGGAGTCCTAGATGTCCTGTGGTGGAAAGGGTAGGATGGGATTACTCGGTGTCTGGAGCAGATGGTGATGGGAACTGAGGGGAAGGAGGGGTAGGAGTCTCCAACAAGTGCAGAGAGCCCAGGTCCAGGTCTTCATGCTGGAAGCAGGAAGGGGCACCAGGAAAGGGTCCTCCTGCCAGCAGAGGTGAGCGCCTCCACTTCTCTGAGCCAGTTTCATCTGCACAGTGGGTGTACCAGCAGCCACCTCACTGGACACCAGTGAGGATGTCAGGTGATCAAGATCTTAGACCAAATCCTGGCTCAA